TTTATTTTCATGCCGAAAAAAGTATTCCTATAAATTATCTGCTGGATTTTCTTTCTGAAAATTACTTTTGTATAGTTTCACTCTTAGAAAAGATACTGTGGAAATTAGACCCTTTTATTGGATTTTCTGAGAATTAGAGAATTTTCTTTACTGTTTACTGTCAACCCTACATTTTATTGTGCAAGCTTTTCTGAAGAAATAACTCTGCACCAATACTCAGAACAGTGCATCAGATGTATAGCTGCAGAATTATAAAAATATGTGCTATATTCTGATTATCCACACTCCAAGCGAAAAGTCGCTGAATCTTCAGTGACACTGAAAAGCATTCGTCAGTTATTGGTAACTTTGGGGAGAAATATTTTTTGGTTATCTTTACATCTATTTTAATAATATATTCAGTGCTGCCTATCTTTTACGTTCTTCTGTTTCCATACAAGATATACATACTTCTTGGTTTTTTGCATTGTTGTTCTTGAAATGACAAATGACTGCTCCAAGAACTGTAAGAGAAGTGCACAAACTTGACACTGTATTCCTAAAATAATAAGAAGAAATGCCATGCATGAAGATTTTAATTGAGCAACAGTATGCTGTCCATTGTCATGTTAAAATACTTAAGTTTCACTGAAGCAATATTAATCTGCAAGCATCAGGGTCAGATAATATGTAGATTCTATTTACACAGGTAATATGTCCACATGTGCAGCTAATTTGTAGAATACCAATAAATCTTTATTTGCAACATCCTGCATTACCTCAATACTTTGTTGTGACTTTTCTGTAGGGGTGTGGATAATCATAATTATCAGTTAATTAGAATTATAGATATTAAGAATTGTAATTTAAAAGTTAATACTGTAATTAAATTTATTATTTAAAAGAAAATTTTGATGTTCATTAAGTATGTTTCACCATAATTATCAACCATAAATGAGATATGGTTGATAATAACCTAGGGCAATAGTTTGTCATGTGAAAATGGTAGATTTCAAAATCCTGGACTTTGCACTTTACTAAAAACTGCACTAATTGAAGGTTGTTTTTAGATCCATCTGTTGTCTGCCACATGGGCCTCCAGTGGCGAAGAATGTTGATTCAAGTCCCATGAGGGCGGCTTTTCAGTGGAATTATAATTTAAAAAAATATATTTAAAGTTTATGGTTAACGTCAAAACATCACTGATACTTATTCTGTTTTCTGAAGAGGAAGATTAAAAACAAGTTTTCTACTGATGACCCCCCCCCTTCGGTTCTGAGGTAACTTGCAGAGAGTATAATTCAGCAGATACCACATAGTGTTAAGCTCGGGCCTTGATTTTCCCCATCTTTTACTACAAAGATGACTTTCGGTTCTATGTTCATTTTCTTATAACAACGATCCTCTTTCACAAATCACAAGTTGATCTGTGTAAAAACCTTTTTGGATTACACCATACTAGCAGAAGCAATATGAGTATAAGATTGCTTCTTTATCTAACTTTAAAAATGTAGTAAGTTCTTAGTTTTAAACCATTGGTAACAACTAAATCATTTATTTCAAAATTTAGGAAAACTATTATTTATATGGAAAGAAAACTTTCTGGTATATGTCATTTAAATTTAGAAAAAAATTCAACATTAAGTATTAAAGCTGATATTATTCAATAATTTTAGGCATTTTAATAGCTTTATGTTTGTTTTTCTTAAAGTTCATGACCATTTGTTTTCCACAGACTTTAATCAAGCCAAAGGTTTAATTTTGGTAATAATTTTTCATTAGTTTAATAAACATCAGGAAATTTGCTAACTGTAGAATGAATTTAGTTCTCGGAACAGAAGAAATATTATATAAAAGCAGTTACTTCAATGAGTTTTTAGACTAAAGCGATTTTATAAAATGAAACTTTAGGCAGTGACTCCTTATTAATATACGAAGGAAGCAATTCACAATTACATTTAAGAGTAAAAATGTGTACATAAGGCAGAAAATATGTTTTAGAAAATTTTGAAATTTTTATTTATTATTATTGTTACTATTATTTGGAACTGATCCTTTTTTTTTCCCGAGTGTGATATTTGGTAACCCTTATAACATTGTACTAAAGACAGTATAAAATGTATAATTTTTTATTACACTAAGTAAACAGTTTCATTAAAGAACGTAACAATATGATAATATCATGAAATAAATTTTGTAGTGTCTTGAAATCCATGAAAACCTCACTCCCTGAAACTGAAAGATGCAGTTAAAATTTTTTAACTATCATTCGAAAAAATTCACAAATAAAATAAGTTAGGTGAAGACAATGATTCTTTTCTCTTATATGCTTTTTCTGCCCTTCAAACGATGCTTTTATGGTATATTCTGATGAAAATTAGTTTTCAGATTGATGATGCATCATGCTAAACTAATTAAAAGAAAAGCATTTCGTGTCGTCTACTCCCCTCTTAAAAGTAATTTCTGTCAAGTCATCTCTTGCATATTAATATAACCTATCACTTTCTGCTTCTTTTTGCGCGTAAAACAAGAAATTAAATAAGTATTGATATATCAGAAATTGAACCGATTTTAATTAAAAAAAAATATAACTATAGGAAGCTAAAATACACACAAAAATACACAGTTTCTGTGAAGTTTCGAATATGCAGAACCATCTACTGGAGAGGTATGAAATATCTTAAAGGAAAAGTTTCAGCCCTGGTGCAAATTGGTGCACTTGTAAAGTGTTATTTTTTTCCCATGCTTTTCTTGCCAACAGACGAGTTTGAACGCAGCTTTACTTTAACAGAGAAGAGCCAAATAAAATGAGACTTTATTAATTAATAACTACTTATTAATGGTATTTCTTAAAAAAATACTACGGTAAGTGATAAGAACTGCGATACTTTAAAAAATTACTACAATTGATAAGATTTAATTTTTCATGTAGCCAATAGCCGACATTGGCACATACATCATTATGTAGAAAATTGTTTGCCAACTGTTGTCTATAGTAGAAGGGATCCCATCTCCTTATGAAAAAAATAAATAAATAATTAAAAAATAAAGATTTTTCCATTTTATTACCCTTCAGTTAAAACAGTATTTTTTAGAAAGATGTGTGTGCCAGCTTATTTCTAGCAAGAAAACATGCATTCACCAAGAAGTAAGTTTGCCTGTAGTAAAATCTTTCTAAATAAAAGAAATGCATCTGGTTATTTTGGAAAAAGAAGGTGATGTATGTTGACACAATTTACAGGCTTTTTATTAATAATATGTTCCTTGACAACATAAACAATGTTATAACAGCTAATGTCAACACACATACTTTAGGCCTGGCGACACATATATCTTTCCACATGAAATGATTTGTTATATATTGTTATGCAAAAAGATTGGTTTAAAATTGTTTCTTTCTTAGGAGAAACCAAAATAACTTCAACAATTGCTCCAGTGCTGTTAGAAAAGTAAAATAATATGTGGTTATTATGGGTATTACTACGTCCTGGCTGCTATCTGGGTTTAAATAATAGTTTATTTTTTAATTTGGTTCTTTAATATAATTGAAAACACATCTACATGTTCAATAAATAGGACACTTCTGATTATCTGCCCAAATCTGAAAAGAATTCACTAGGCAACAGGCTATAGTACCAAGCTATACAACCCACTATATAGAAAAGAGATATTATCTGGCCACCCAAGTATATAGATGCAAGCAGAACATAAGGTGCGTGTTTTGGATTTTTAATTTAAATCATCCTCTCTCTCTCTCTCTCTTTTTTTTTTTTTTTTTTTTTTTCATCAGTACTTCTTTTTATTAGTGTTTGATGAAATAGCAAATTTTTATATTTTAGGGAATTATAAAAAGACTGAGAAGTAAACGGGGTGATGAACTTCACAAATATGACATTTTGCCTGATATTGGAGAATGCAAAAATTCACGCTCTATGAAGTGGTATTTTAGAAATGATCAGATTTGTATGCAGATGCTGCAACTTATTCTATTCTGTTTTTCCTTAAAACAAAAGCAGATTGAAATATAACGTGAGAAAACAAAGGCATGTGCAGTACAAATTGGTTCAATTTTCAGATTTTTTTAAAAATGAAAGCATGTAATGGTATATGGGGTAATAATAAAGTGTGCCAATTTGTGCACTATGTCAAGTTTCTGCAATTGTCTGCTGTATTTTGAAGCTAAAGCAGATCACTGTATGCATGGGCAGAAGAGTCGAGGAAAAAAATTGTGTATCTGATTATTATCGGTATTTCTTAGATTTTTAATTTTGTTGGTTGCTGTTTTATGTAATTTTTATTATGTCACTATTTTTGAAAATGGCTGTTGTCTTTATCATCTTAGTTTAAGGAAATATTGTCACCAACAGTTGCTGAATTTTTGAAAGGGTTGTGTAAAATCAGATAGCAACATGGATATTCACGCATTCAAATCAAATATAAATATTGCCCACCAGCGGCCGAGCGGTAAAGTCGCTGAACACTGGTAGTTCGGTCCGAGGTTCGAATCCCGCGAACGGGCTGGCTGCATGGGTGTTTTCGTGGTTTTCCCCATGTGTAACGTGTACGAGCCAGTTTCCCTTAGAAAGTCCTCCACGAAGGCATCCCTCCCCTTAGGCAGATAGCCCTAGTGTGCTTTGCCATAATTAAAGATATACCAATACACCAAATCTAAATATTCTTTTAGCACCCTTAAAACTTATTTCCATTAATTTTTGTTTTTAGTTTTTGAACAAAAAATCTCATCAAAGCTAAGTAAATTAACGTAGAATTTTGAGTAACTGAAAGTTTATCTTGGATATTTATACAGTGCTCTAGAATTGGGGGAAAAAATAATAATAATACATTTTCTCACATTGCTTGAGATAAAGCTAATCAATTTACTATTGTTTTCAGTTAAGGCTAGCAAACACAATATTGCTTTCATTTCCCCAGGACCAATCAAATGGACATATGTTAAATATGTATTATATTGGTTGATAAATATACTATTGTCCACTCTAATATTTTGCCCCTTTTTTTAGTAATTTCATCAAACATTATGCAAGTTATTTCACTTCTGAGGGATGGAATTGCCATAAAAACATGGCAAATGAAAAATATTCACGGATAAATTACCAGTAAGTACCAATATTATTAATTTAAAGAAATGTATATTCCAATAATATTAATATTGGCCCATTTTCAAATTTTGCATACATATGCTATCCCAGAAGAAAAGAAAGAATTTCAAGTTTAATTTAAGCTATGTATTGCATAAAAATGACTATAAAAATATATTTCCACAATTTAAAATATAAAAAAAATCAGTTGAAATGTTTTAGATATATATCTTTAAAAAAATGTGGCCGTAGGGAAAAAAGGTTGCCCTTTCAAATTTTATGTTATTCAACCTGTTTGTTTTGCATACTAATTTATTTTTTTAAATGAAGAAGTTTAATTATTTTAAATATGAACTCTTAATGTGTTATATTCATTATAAAAATTAATTATCGAACTTTTTTCTTTACCAAATCAATTTAAAAAAAATTTTGTTTTCCACTTCATGTGAAGTCCGTTACTTTGACATTATTTTACCCTCAAAATCTGCCTAAAAGGGGCAGTACATATTCAATAACATAGATAAATTAGTCAAGCTAGATTTGACTACTTTGAATATGTGCTGCACCTTTTAGGCTGATTTATAAAAGAATTAGGGGTAAAATAATCTCAAGGCAGTGGACTTAACATGAAGTGGAAGTCAAATTATTTTTATGGATTTGCTAAATTTATATCTAAACATTTTAGAATTTTTTTTACAATGATCCAGTGCGTGATCCACCCAGATCCGGACCATCTAGTAGCCCATACATGGTTGGCGACCACCTTCCTAAGACGATGACTTCCAAAAGTGACTAGCATTTCTAAAAATATAAACAAGCACTTGTACTGAACATGATCTCTCTCGAAGATGATCACCTCCACAGAATACCAAAATCAACAAGAGATATGGATAGGTATCTTAGAAAGGATTTTTACTCATAGTAGTTACATTCATTACAATTACATGTAAAGCTTAACGAAAGTTATGAGCGGCTGAGTGGTTAAATTGTTGAATGCTGGCAGTTAGACATGGGTTTGATTTCTAACAAAGAGGCTGGATGCATGGGCATTTTCATGGTTCTTCCCACCTATAATGTGGTTACGAACCAGTTTTCCTTAGAAAGCCCTCCACGAAGACAGCCCTTCTCTTAGGCAGATAGCTTTCGTGCACTTTGTTATAATCAAATAAACCAAACCAAATTAAAGAAATTCATTTTACTCTCTAAATTGGGCTCCAAATAAATCATACGTTTGAGCTTTTCATATGCCGAACCTAAAACGTATCAGAACGGAAAATTAAATAAATTTAATTATTTAACTTGGTTATGCAGAATTTCAATTTTTAGTTTATCCCTAGTTTCCAAAAATCTGAGCATGAATAATCATGTAATAAAATAGACTAGAAATTCAAAGAATAACTTTGATGATCTTCGATCACTAGCAACGGCAGATAATCTTAGCTACTTTGACATAACCTAAAAAATCTGATTTGATGATCATGCTAATCTACTTTCACACTGAGGCCTGTGTTGCTTTAATGAATGTTTTATTTATTGTAAATTGTGTAACTGCTTTAAATTAACCACTTCAACAACTTTTCTGTTAGATTTCCTTTTTAAAATTTTTGACATCATTTTAAAAGCCTAAATATGTCCGATCGTTTTACTAAGACATATTATTTGTAACTGTTTTATATGTAAGTACAGAGAATCTCATGACGACTAACTCTTAAAAGTGTTTCCTACAACCAGTGGCGTAGCTAGGGTGGGGCAAGGAGGGACAGCTGCCCCCGGGCGCAGCATCCAGGGGGTGCCAAATTGATGTTATGAAATTTTAGAGTTAAATGTTTTACATTCTTGGTACACAAAAAAAGGTGCAAAATCTTCAGTTGTCCCTGGGTGCTGAAAACCCTAGCTACGCTTCTGGCTACAACATAAATAAACAGGCTTTTGTACATTTGCCTCACTAATACAACCACCTATATAAGTGGCTCGAAACGCTTAAAGCCGTTAGTGGTCGCCTTAGAAAAGTCTCATTATATTTGCATTTTTGTGGCATTTAATAATTTCAGTTTATTTAACATGTCTGCCTTATAAATTATAATATTGGTTTTTCAAGGTCGTATAACAACTTTCAATACAAATAAGAATAGTAATAATCTTTTACAGTCCATTCAGATTATTGTATTCGTATTAAAGCGTTGAGTCAATATTTGATCATTATTCTGCACGTACGTTATAGCAAAAATTCAAAATCCTTAATTATGGTAATTTTCAATATTCAGGCTGTAAATGCCAAAGTTATTTAATGACAGATTTAAACTTAGTGCATTTACAATGAGAAAATCATAATTATGGAACTGTTTAATGCCTGAAGCTTGTTAAAACTGGTTGAAACATGTTGCAATCTCATTTTCGTATGCAAAACCATTCTCGCATGTTATACACTTAATTTATAGCAGTTTTCCCAAGTAACAAAATTTTAGATTTATATCATTTTTTAAAATTTGTGAAAATAAACAAAAAGAAAGGAGCAAATTTTTCATTTATGCATTATAATTATTTTCTGTTCATATTTTGTGACAATTACTATATTTTTCAATTTTCCTCAACTGTCAAATCTTCTTGTATTTCTAAATATGCATAGATTTTGTACAGTCCCCTCCCCAAGTTTAGAGTTTTTACTTTAATTATTAGAAGCGTTTGATGTAATTAATCATGCACGTCGCCTATGGATTCGCGAATTTTGAATTTTCAGAATTGTTCAAGCACTACTGTAAATGATTCGTATTTATTGAATCTTAAAATCACAAATTTTAAGATTCAATAAATCCAACTCAGTCCACCCAGTTTTAAAATTCAATAAAGGCACTGAAGTTATTTAACATTTAAGAACTCTCGCCGATTTAGAACTCCCAGAAATTTGTACCCAAGAAATGATTTCAAAATTGTTCTGCTACATCTATTAATAATTGTTCTATCCCTTGATCAACTTATGTCTACTGCATTTTCCCTTCATTTCTTCTTAGGTTACTTGTATCATGATAAAACACATATGGGCTATTTGTCTAAGAGAAGGGATGTCTTCATGGAGGACTTTTGAGGGAAACTGTCTCGCATTTACTTTACATGTGGAGGAAAATCATGAAATTTCTCTTGGAACCAACTCGTTTGCTGCGATTTGAACCACGGTCGAACAATCACTGTTAAGCGACATTACCGCTGTAGAACTAATGGGCTGCATTATATATCATGCTTAATGAATTTAGAGCACAAATGACCTTCAGTCCTTTTATATCATCAAAGCCTGGTTCCATTTTTCATAAAAATAAAATTACTAGAAATATTAGTAAAAAGACATGTAAGTATTTTGGTTGAGTTTGTATTCAATTTAATCACCTTCATGTAACATATAAAGATGTAATTTCCATAATAGTACAGTAAATACTATTACGTAAATTACTGTAATAGTACAGTAAATTTTTGAACACGTTAAGATCCTAAAAAAGTTAGCAAAAGTTAATGATGGGAATGCCATTTAGTAAATAAACGTACACTGTTCTACGCCAATACTGTAATTCGACATTCGACAAAATGTGTTTTGCTTTTATACCAATCTCTGCAGAAGGGTGAAAATTGTAACCAATGCTGAAATTCTCTAAATTCACTTTTGCCTCATAAAATGAAAAAAACAATTTTCAATAAACATAAATCATTATATGAGCGAATGTAAATATTTAATGCAGAATACATAAACCTTATGTCGAGCTTAATGTAAAACTTTTCCCCTGCAAAATTTATGAGATAAAAGAAAGTAAATGTATTTTAAGTTGGAAACTTCTTTATTTACATAATTAAAATAAAATCTTTATTTACATAATTAAAATAAAATCAAGTCTAAAATGTATGCATTATTTAACATCAGTACTATATTTTGCATGTTAATATTTAAAAAACTTATCTGACTAAATTACTCCTGAAAGATTGTTTATGATTAAATTTATGAAATAAAAAAAAAGGTAAATGTAAATTAAGTCAGAAACTTCTTTATTTACATAATTACAAGGTAGTCTTGGTTTGGTTTGATTTATTAGATTACGGTAAAGCACTCGAGGGCTGTCTGTCATAAGGGAGGGATGCCTTCGTTGAGGACTTTTTAAGGGAAACTGGCTCGTATACACGTTACACAGGGGGGAAAACCACAAAAACACCCATGCAGCCAGCCCGTTCGTGGAATCTAAAGCTCGGACTGAACTACCAGTGTTCTGCGACATTACCGCTCGGCCGCTGTTGGGCCGCAATCTTCTTGGACCTACCCTTTTCAATATTTATGTGAACGACATCCCTACAACACCAAACACAACATTAGCTATGTACATTGACGACACAGCGATCCTAGCACGAAGTGCATTTGTTCGTCCAGTAGTCCAACACGTGCAAGAACACATACAAGCACTAGAGGGTTGGCTTAAACAATGGAAAATTGAAGTCAACGTTCAGAAAACTAAAGCTGTGCTTTCACCAAAAAGAAGAAAATCAACTGTCACCTAAAATTCTATGGCACTGACATCCCTTGGTCTAAACAGGTCCCTTACCTTCGCGTGATCTTCAACAATGCTCTCACATGGGCATTTGCTTCAAAAACCCATCGTAAAAAACTCCAAACTGCACAAAACGCAGTACTTCGGCAAATTACTAACTCCCCATGGTATGTTAGAAATAATAGAATTCATGAGGAACTAAAAATTGTTCAACTAAGATCTTTTTATTATAACATTGCGAAGAATTTTCATGAGATGCAAAATAATATTGACAATCCTGCAATCAAAATCTGTATATATGACTATAATGATCTTGATAATTTAAATCAGCCACTTGCCATTCTAAATGTATGGATATGTAATGTGTACTTTTCTGTTTTGATGTCTGTGTATTTGTATTTATGTCAATGTAATTGTACGTATCTCACTTGGCACACAGAGACTCACACTAACCCATTCTATTAGAGTTTTGCAATTCTTGTTTGTTCTCAGTGAACTCTATTACTCTCTCTCTCTATATATATATGTGTAAAAAATATTTATATATATTTATAAATATAAAAAATATATAATTAATTTTTTTATTATTATTAAAAAAAACTCATAATAATAATAATAATTATGTATGTTGTAATGCTTTATATATGTATGTTTTTCTTTCCTCTCAAAATTCGAAGATACTTTTGTTCTACAGGGGGTAGGGTCTTTGAACCCAGGTGTGAGGACACCATTCTATTGGATCGATAAACTATTGGATAGTTTAAATTTATGCATTATTTAACATCAGTACTATATTTTGCATGTTAATATTTAAAAAACTTACCTGACTAAATTACTCTTGAACAATTGTTTATGATTAAATTTATGAGATAAAAAAAGGTAAATGTATATTAAGTCAGAAATTTCTTTATTTACCTAATTAAAACAAAATCAAGTCTAAAATTTATGCATTATTTAACATCAGTACTATATTTTGCATGTTAATATTTAAAAAAATTACCTGACTAAATTACTCGTGAACGATTGTTTACAAGCCTATAGTTTGTTTGATCAAGTGCGACTAAGCTGCAAAGTACTAAATCATATATTTTCTTGCAAAATCTTGTGGACATTGTTAATTTCTTGTAAAATCGGAATTGCAAATTATACATATGATTGCAAAATATTATATTCGTAATATTATTAATTGAATTAATTTCATAATTATCATAAAGAGAGCTTGAAATGCTCTAGTAAACACATTTTCAAAACATAAAGTATGAAAAAACACAAATGCGATGGGACTCAGAGACGTGAAACAAGCAGTGTTTACTAACAAAATATCGCTGATCTGCTTATTCTTTGCTGGATTGTAAAAGAACACAGTATCTGCAGAACAAAATAAAAAGGAAGAAAAGGGCATAAAATCTGCAAAACACAATAAATTACAGGTGGGTGGGTGTGGGGCAACTTGAAAGTATTTTACAAATTATTCTAAGGGTTAAAAATATCACTACTGCTGAAGTAGAATGTTTAAAAAAAACATTTATGATTTACCTAAAAGAAAAAAATATAGTTACACTATAAATTCATTAATACAGTCGTCTTATACAAGCAATCGAATATTTAAGAATGCTTTTTTAAAATTATTTATCTCTTATGGCGTTCATCTTTCATATTAAAAAAAAATTATACCATTGAACATTTGAAGAATGAGAGACCATAGAGATAGTTCTAATTATTCTAAGGGCTGTATTCCATAATATTTTTTTACTAGTAAGACATTTTTCCATTGCTTTTTTTTCTTCCCTTTTTGTTCTAATGATCTCCCGTTCTCATGCCCAAATTTTATGATATTCTGTGAATATCTATAAGGTATTTCTCCAGCCTTCTTAGCATGCTTTCGTGTTGTAGTGGTCAGCACACTCGGTGCGTATTCGAGAGTCTCGGCAAGGGTATTGCTCGTTTTTCATCTCTCCTGCTTTTAAAAAATACCTAATGCCTCTACATATCTACCGAAAAGTCTAAATAGCTTGGTCTAATAAACTGTTTCAATGTCCTCAGACAAAATACTATTATGATCACCACATAACATAAATTGAATGCCAGAATGATATCAATGGAAAGAAACATAAAATTTCAATCCACTTCCTCAAAATGATGATTTATTAATAATAAGCTACATTCATGAGATGGCTCTACCTAGCATACAGGATGGTTCAAACTATATTTCAAAAATGTAAAGGCAGGTAGAGAAAACCTGAACGAGCAGATTTCGTATAGAAATGTGTGTGCGGTAATGACGCATTACAGCGCTAGCACACATAAAGCAGTATGAATCACAGGAAACCGAAAAGATAAGTAAAGAAAAAAAAAATTACTAACAATTTAAAATAGGTGTTCGAAAGAGCAGTCATCAGCAGCGATACAAGATTCAGTGGCAGCGCATGGATCGGTGTACATTAGAAAAAGACATCAGGCATGTAGAACATATGTCCAGCAGCAACAGACAAGCAGACAACAAGGTTTTCTGCAAATGTGACTGGACCATGGAGTGTAATAAAGGAGGGGAAACTGCCTAGTAGAAAAACGGGCCCTAAAATGTCACGTTTACTAGATAGCGCTGCTCTTCCATCTTAGCGGTTCCAAATGTAAACATTTATTGAGTAGCCAGGCGGCTAAGATTACTAGTGGATGAAAAAATTTTTATGTTTTTAATGTGATGGATTGTGTTATCAATGTTATAATGTTTTGCTCACTAATGATTCTATTTTATTCCTCAAATTATAAAATTGGTTTACAGCTTTCATGCTGTAAGGCTTGTAGTAGTACTTTTTATGAATGATTAATTTGAAGATATTTTTCAGTCCCTCCCGCTTAGAAAAATAATCATATTACTAGTAATAATACTTGCTGTATATATGTTAAATTTAATTAGAATAGGTTCTTCGCGTCTCTCATTTTGTAAAATGCTTAGATACACAGCTTGATATAAACTATGGCGAAATTTTAATGAAGCTTATAGAATTTTTTGCTTCAGTCAGTAAATTTTCTTTACAATCATAATGAGTTATTCTTTTTTATGAATCAGATGTCAGTTTTGATTTTGATATTTTATCATTTTCTGTTAAAAATTTGAATATCTTTGTTATTTGAGAAAATATGTTTCAAATTGATTTCATAAGATTTTAAAATAGAAATCTGATTTGAATTCAATTAAGTATTCTGAACACTTGGTTATGCTGAATTGCATATTATTCATAATTAAATATAGAGTAAAAAATATTGAAACTAATTCAATCTATCTTTAATTTTGTCTTGCTTGAACTAACTTCTAACCAATAAAATGCAGTATTTTAACTAAACATATAATGGAGATATTTTTTATTTTAAAAGTACATGTGCTCTTTTCCTTCAAAGGATATAGTATATGAAGACATTGAGCTGTTGGTCATGGTTAAATTATATATTACTCTCATTACCTACAATAGTGTTCCACCCCAAAAAAAAAATTAAGTGTAGTTAATAAGTTTTCAAAGTAAAACATTCTATCCCATTCAATAGCCTAAAAGATGAATTTCTTATATTTAGAAAAATTTTATCACAGTTATAATGAGATGATATTTTCTCGCAGTTAAGTTTCAAATTGGTACATGTAGCTTTTTTGAAGAAACAAAAAAAAAAAAAAAAAAGGTTTTGCATGTGTTATCTTTTACTAGAAAAGATCCCCTATTTTTTATTTTCATTTATTGAACTGATTATTTACTAATAGACTCTAATTACATTTGTTGCAAAACTACCAGTTTAATACCAAAATACCTAAGGTATGCTTGCTGCGGTATTTAAAAAATATTGTTACCTATGTAAAACTAAAGTCTGTTTTCTCTTGCAGTAATTATTCACTTGTTTATTCTCAATTTAATATCCCTTTTTCAACGATTAAAGACTTGCTGTGAAAGAAATAAGTTCAATTAAATAACAAAAATTTAATAAGAATGTAACAGTAATTATGTAAATAATCCCGAAACAATCTTAACAGCATTGTTTTATATTGTTACACACAGGGGTGAGCTATAGGAAGTTAGAGTTATTCGTTAAATTAGTGTTCAATTCGCAAGCACCTTTTTCTTTCCCACCAGCAGTTGAGCAGCAAAAGACACCAAACACTGCCAGTTTGGTCCTGGGTTTTAATCCCGGCAACAGGCTAGCTGCATGGGCATTTTCCTGGTTTTTCCACGTGAAACATATATACAAGCCAGTTTTCCTTCAGAACTAAGGTATCCTTAACCTTAGGCAGATAGCTCGCAAGTTGTTTGGTGTAATTAAATACAGCAAACCAAACCTTTTCTTTTTGTTTGTGGCTTAAAAGTACTTCTGCTGAATGTGTACATGTCTATATAATTTTATAACGGTTCGAATTGATATCGAAAACTATTTTAAAAAACCCATTTAATTGCAATTTACTCTGAATTGAACTATTGGGAAGGCAATATTTTCAAGATTCAAATCAGCATGCTGAAAACAACAGACATTTAAATAATGTGTCTTCAAGATTTTTAATTAACATATTATTGTAAGTAGAATGTGCAGTATTCAGGCATATCCTGAAGTTTTACTAAGGGTATACTGCTGAACAATATATTTTTTTAAAAATAACATTAATGAATGTCAGAATTACATATACAGTCAAAAGTCGTTAATACGGACTCGTCGGGACTTCGGCGATTCCGGATTATCGATTTTTCCGGATTATAGATCATCAGTTTAAATCTCGTAAGATGGCATGCAGAAATTCTAAAATTAAAAATATGAAACCGTAATTTATGAAATAAAGAACAATTATGATCTAAAGGGTATCAAAATTTACAAAAAAAAAAAAAAAAAGGCTTAATATTTATTTGTTTACTTTTAAACATTTCTCTCAATGTAAGTTGTTTAAGTTGCTTCGTTTTATGTGATAATACTTTCTCTTTAATTCTATAAAAAGACATAATTTCTTGTTCAGTTACAAATTCCGCTGTTCAAGTCCCGTTAATTGCTGTGCCGAGAATACCGACTAACTTGTCAATCGAAATTTTTTCATTTTCACTAACCTCTCTGTCACATTCTTCATGTCTTTATCCATTTTTTGCAGCAATTCCACATTTTTTGTTTGTGGACATCGAAACATACTTCGTTTTGTAGATCCTTTGGAAGTTCCAGCATCGGAAATTCTATTTGACATAATCGAAAGTTCAAGTTTACTTTATAAAATTGCTCTTACAGTCTGCAAAAAATAATAAGCGGGATCCAATTCGAAGATTAAGGAACAACGCAATCATTAACATTAACTGAAATAGATTATTAGATAATTTTAGCTTACACCGTCCGTTATACCAAGGCCAACTTATACTCAAGGCCTGCCAGACTGAATGAAATTCCGGTTCCCAGTTTTCAGTGGCTTTCGCGAAATTCATCACTAGGTGGCGCTCGCATTCTGCTACAATTTTGCTATACGCTCACTATTTGTAACGTGGTTCGTTATTAACAAAAAGTGTATTTTATGGCTAGCTGCTGTATATTTGAAGGCTATAACATAACGAGCTTGGTTTTTTTGGGTAACTTTTTATGCATATAGGTTTAAAATTGTGTATATACGTCATTGAACTCAGTTCTGAAATTCCTCATTCTGCTTATTTAATTCTGAAATCTTTGTGTATCTAATGCTGTTATTTTCAAAACTTTGTTTGTAACTTTCTTCTGATTAATCTGGAATGGGAATAATACACATGGATTATGTCAGTCAGGTAGTTACATTGTAGGTAATGTATCAAGATGGCACTCATGTATATGTGTGCTTAATAGTGATAATATTGTTTTGTGAAATTCAGTAATTTTATTTCATGTATACATTTCTTGATAATGAACTATATCAGCATCTCACGCTGCCAGCCATAAATTTTGTACACATGTCATTCTGATTAATGTTGTATGTGTGTAAAAATATCTAGCTGCTGCATATTTAAGGGCTATACTTAATAAGCTTGCTTTTTTGCCTAACTTTATGCACATAGGTTTAAAATTGTGTATATACCTCATTGTACTCAGTTCTGAAATTCCTCATTTCTGCTTATTTAATTCTGAAATGCTTGTGCATCCTAATGCTGTCATTTCCAAAATTTCTGTGTGGAACTTTCTTCTGATTAATCTGGAATGGGAATGGTACAGATGGATTTATATCAGGTAGTTGCATGTAGGTAATGTATCAAGATGGCACTCATGTGTATGTGTTCTTTAATAGCGATAATATGTTTTTGTGAAATTCAGTAATTTTTTTTTCATGTATACATTATTCTTGATAATGAACTATATCAGTATCTCACGCTGCCAGCCGTGTAAATAAATAAATTTGTAAATAAAATTTTGTACACATGTCATTCTGATAAATGTTGTATGTGTGTAAAAATGTCTACCTGCTGTATATTTAAGTGATGCATTTAATAAGCTTGTTTTTTTTTTTTTTTTTTTTGCCTAACTTTAAATGCATATATATCTAAAATTGTGTATATACCTCATTCTACTTAGCATTGTGGGGATGAATATATTATTTATATTCAGCCATTGCAAGTTTTCAAATTTTATCCTTGATATACAGAACTGAACTTTTCTTAAGTATATACTGTGATTATGAGAGTTATTATTTTTTTTTGTGTGCTGTTAAAGATATATTTTATGATGTCTGTGTCTCTTTTATTTATAACAAACAGATTGATTTTGATCAATAGCTTTATCAAAAATTTCATTATTTTCATTTGAAAAATTGAAGTTTCTCTAACACTGAAAATGTAAATTGCTGCAATGCACTTAATTCAATTACTAGTTTCTTAATGTTAACATCAAATGAAATTTAGAATACAAATAAAAGTGAAGAGAAACACACCTGTGTAATATTAAAATTAGTCAAAAAAGCAACTTTGGGTTTGAGTTTCATTCAAAATCTATGCCACAGTAAGACCTTTTTTTTGGGGGGGACTAATAATTTTATAATGTCTTTGAATATCTGCAATGCAAATACTGCACAGAGATCAAAATCTGCATTATTTAAACTTTTATTGTTTAAGATTTCCTAAAAACAGTTATTTAATAATTAAAAAAAATTCTTCAGTATGTAAAATTTAATCTCTTTAAGTAATATTCTTACTTTAATCTCTTTAAATAATATTTTTACTCCAATGTCGTGGAAACAGATATACAAATTTTAGATCACGGTGTATTAATATGTTAATTACATCTTTGATAGGGGATACTAAATTAATTTTAGGCCCAGTACAGCCGATAGAAATATTTTTAGAAGATTTTTCACTGAAATAGTACATGATCTGAAGCTATCTGTTAACTTCTTAGTATATACATAATTAAAAAATAAGGTGTATACTCTGAATTACCTTTAAATTAGAATAAGTAGTTGTAATGCGTACAATTCAGAATAGCGCATGTCTAGATCAAAGCAGGAATTAAAATCGAGATCAAATAGCTGGTGTTTATGTGTGAAAAAAAAAAAAAAAAAAAAGGTGAGATAGCTTAAAATTCCATGCTTTCCTTCTAATTAAAATATTTTTACTAATAAGAAATCAACAATTTCTGACTACTATGATTAATCGTTTTTTAAACTTTGCATATAACAAGACAGAATTTCGTTTTTGGTACTTTTCCGATCTTTTGTAAACATCGCAAAGGTAGAGAATTGTACCGCCATCTTGCGGTCAGTAGGAATATCACGCAGGCAACCGAAAACACAAAAGAATATTTTCACACTGGCAGGCCTTGAGTATAAGTGGCCTTGGTTTCATTAAACGGCAGCGAAAACGTATTATGCGTGGCACAGCATATGCGCAGTAGTCAAGGTCTTACGCGCACGCGTAAAACCAACACCGACTCTACTTCAAGCCTAAGCGCGCGGTTCGAAAATTCGTGTGACGTCACGACTTCTGGTCATAATAAACTTCGGAACGCATGCAGTGGCTCTTTGCTGATTGCTGAAGCTTCTTACGTTGTGCGAACGCTCAAGCAGAATACATTGATTTTTTTATGGTTTTAAGGTTGGATGTATTTTAGAGAGGTAAGAATACATTACTTTACTTCTGTAAATTTATATTTTTCTAATTATATCAACGTTTTTAGGCGTATGTTCTAGTATACATGTGTTATTTCTGGTAGAGACAAGGCTGCTGTGCTATGTATAATTTCTTTTTGAATAATGTTGTGTCAGCCCATCGTAGAATAAACGGGCTTTGCATAATTATATTACCTGATCTGTTTCAGAATAAAACATTTTTTTATGGACCTGTATAAATTTGATGTTATAATATAAGCTAACACAGCTTATTCTTAAAATTTTACATGCCATTAGCTATACACTATAACTATTTACTCCCTTTTATATTTAAAAATAATTAATTTATATTTTATACATAACTATTTACTCCCTTTTATATATTAATTTAAATAAAACATTTCAGTTATTAAAAATGCCGGGTAGATGCTGTGTACCATTATGTAAGGGAAACTACCCAACAGGACCAAAAGTGTCTGTATTCTCCTTTCCTAAAAATGAAGATTTGAAGAGAGAGTGGCTTTCTGCAATCCAACGGAAAGACTTTTCACCCAAAAAGAGTTCAAAGGTAAGTAAAGTAGAGTTATTAATTAATAGTGTAGATTCTAATTACATATAAGGGTTCATTCAGAAATTTTTAAATGATAATATTTTTTGTTACATAAACCAGGATATACAGAAATAAAGGATTGAAATAGAGCTTTAATCACTGCAAATATTCTCTGGTTCTATCTGTGAAATGAATATTCTTTACTACAAATGCTCAGAATGAACCCTCTGATTTTTAAACTATTACTATTAACATAAGTTTTTTTTTTTTTTTTTTTTTTTTTTAATTTTTCTCTAAAGGTTTGTGAATTGCATTTCAAGGAAAGTGATTTTAAAGTTGAAGCTTCAGCATTTGATTCTAAGAATGGAATTTTAATTTCTGCTCCACTTCAGGTGCGTAGATTAAAAGAAAATACAGTGCCATCAATATTTAAGGACTATCCATCTGTATACAGTTCAAAAAGTAGCACCATTGTACGAGAAGATCCTGATGCAAAAAAAAACTGCCCGCGAGTGCCATAATTTACAGAAAGCATTGCGTGAAAGCCTTAAAGAATATGAAATGTATAATAATGATTTGAAAATTAATTGTTCTAATGATATTTTGTCATGTATTGATCGCTATGGAATATCAGCATTTTGGCATGTATACACAGTTCCAGATACCTCAACTGTTTGCTTTATTCATATTGTTTTTAGTCCTGGGCCATCAATTGATTATTCTGTAGTTGTGAATGACAATCAAGAAATGTCTGTATTTATTAAAGAAAAATCTATTATGCAATTATCTCCTTACACATTCCCACATAAAGTTACAAATTTTAATGAAATTAGGACTGTTTTAGATAAATTGGCTAATCTTCAAACCAAAGAGTTAAATTCAAAATTAACCATAACAATTGATATAATTAATGAATTACTGCAAACTATCTCTAACGACAAAAAATGAGAGCATTATTAAATTTTTGCAAGACCAGATGAGTGTTTTACTTTGCCCTGAAAATAATTTTAGGTACAATCCTGATGTATTAGTGATTAGCATGCTTGTTAAATACTATATCCCCACATGCATATAAATTTTTAAGAGATAGTGGTAGTATTATTATGCTTTATCCTTCAACGTTAAAAAGAAAAAGAAAAATTGTAGCAATTTAGTATTGTCACCATGTAATGAAACTATTGATGAAAATTTTTTAAAATATATAAAAAAATCGTGTAACTTTCCTTGAGGATCGAGAAAGAAAAGTGATTCTTTTGGTAGATGAAATTTATGTTCAGCCATATTTTGATTACAAAGGAGGCTCTGTCGTTGGGGCTGCATTTGATTCTTCCAGTCCGGCAACCAGTGCATTTGCTTTTATGATATCCAGTTTGGAATCTTCATTCAAAGAGGTAGTACATATTATGCCTGTTAACACAATAAATTTTGAAACATTACATTATGTAATTAAAAAAGTGATTAGAGGTCTTGAAAATATGGGAATTATTGTTATTTGTGTTATTACAGACAACAATGCAATAAATAGAAAAGCCATGAGTTTGTTTTTCAAATCCACCACGTAATTCATTTGTTTACAAACATCCAATGAATGGGAATAGGCCTCTTTTCTACATAATAGATGCAGTTCATTTATTTAAAAATATAAGGAACAATTGGCTGAACCAGAAAAATCCTGGTACATGTATGTTTTTTCCAAATATTGAAGATCTTTCAAAGAAGCACTTCAAAACTGCTTCGTTTATGTCTTTGAGAAAGCTACATGAAATTGAAAATGACCAACTGATTACATTTTCTAATGGTTTAACTCTAAAAAGTCTTTCACCTTCTAATTTAGAGAAACAAAACATTAAACTGGTTCTTAAGATTTTCAATAAATTTACTATTGAAGGTCTGATTCATTTGGGTCCTTTGCATGAAATACCACACTATTCAGATACATCTGAGTTTATATCCATAATATGCAAATGGTGGGATATTATGAATGTTAAAACTATGTTTAAAGGTATACATCAAAAGAGTGAATTTATGAAGCCATTAACAGCAGATGATTCTGATCCAAAAGTTATTTTCCTCAATCAGTTTCTTAACTGGTTAGATGCATGGGAATCAATGAAATGTTCAACAGGCATGCTTACAAAAGAAACTCATGCAGCTCTCAAACAAACTACTTATGGTATACTGGAGTTGACTAGATATTGTGTTGAAGAGCTTGGAATGAAATATATACTTCCAGGAAAAATTCAGACTGATGCTCTTGAAGCCCGGTTTGGTAAATACAGACAACTTTCTGGTTCTCAGTATCATATTTCAATGAGACAGTTATTAGAATGTGAAAAAAAATTAAGAATACAATCAAGTATTAAGTTAGAATTGATTGTTAAAAATACTACTGTCCCTTTAACATCATTTGAATATGATGATAATCTTCATGATATTATAGAATTAGATAATACAGTATATTACCCATCATTAAATATTACGGAGAGTGATGTGAAGGGCATTAGTAGCCATCTGCCAGTTCTGACTTATTTGGGTGGTTACTGTTGTCATGCAGTTTTAAAGAAAGTGAAATGCTGTAGCTGCAAACAAAACATTACAATAAATTCCACAGTTAATCATGATCAAACGTATGATCTTATAAAGAATCTTGATCGTGGTGGACTCAGGTGGCCAAAACCATTTATTGTAAATATAATTATGTATAATTATTTAATTGTAAATAAGCTGTGTAGTGAAGAATATGAAGATTTTTTGTTGGAACAAAATCAGAGGAAAATTGTAGCAAATTTGACTTTTAAAATTTTAGAATTAAAAGAAATGCTCTTTGATGATATTATTTGTGATAATGGTCATACAAGTGAAAGTATAAGCAAACTGATAATTTGGATATCAACAAATATCATGCTCAAGAATCTTTGCAATAGGAAAAATGACGATATTAAGTCCAATAAAGAAAAAAAAAAAAAAAAAACTTCAGACACTTGCAAAGTAACATTGATGCTGTCTTTAAAAGTAATTTTTAAAGTTCTCTCAAACTGCATCTTTGCTAAATATCTACGTGTCATCTTTGGTGAGCAGCTGAGATTTAAGAAGCATGTTTGTTATACATTTAAATTGCTTTATACCAAAATTTATTTTGGACTTGTATATATTATTCTTTGCTTATTTAACCAAGTTTTTTTAATATTACTCAAGATTTTATAATTTTTTAATTTGTTTTATACTAAGTTACTTCTCAAGGTCCTGAAATTTCTATATTGTATTTACAAGCGCCTTTGCTAAATATCTACGTGTCATCGTTGCTGAGCAGCTGAGATTTAAGAAGCAAATTTATTATATATTTAAATGCTAAATATCATAATTTATTCCGGACCTGTAGATATTATTCTTTGCTTATTTAGTTATTTAACCAACTTTTCGGTATTACTCAAGATTTTATATTATTTTAAAATTTCTTTATACTCAGTTACTTCTCAAGTTCCCAAAGTTTCTATTTTGTATTTCAATTGTGTTTCTTAAAATGTTCATCATTATTTAAGATTTTGTATCCTGCAATTACATGGCATAGTGTAGTCATAGTGTAGTAGTGTAGAAAGAACATATTACATGGCATAGTGTAGTAGTGTAGAAAAAAGACAAATTCCATAATGTCTTCTTTCTGCACAATCTAACTCTAATATTTCTATTTATGCAATAATTGTATGGACTCTTTCTGGATAGTACTACATGTTCAGCTCAAGTAATATTTGCTCTTCACATTATTCACAGTGAATAAGCACAAATCAATCTACTAATATACCCGTGTGGTGACCGGGTGTGAAAGAATAGTCCCAATGTAGCTCATACATGTCGTAAAAGGCGACTAAAATGGGTACCCAGCGTCTGGGGGTATAGCCGGGCACCCTGCCCCTGGGGATTATATCAGGGAACTGGTCCTCCAGGTTGGGGGTTGGGTGTGGGGCTAACTACCCCACCCCATAAAAAATCTCACTGTTAAGAAATCCAAAGATAGAATTAGCCGGACTGCTTCTACTGGAAAACGACTTGGAAATGGCCTAGGGACTTTTCGTTTTGGAACATGAAAAATAAGCAAACAGACTAAAAGTTTGAAAAGTTATTGAAATAATTAAATAAAGAATGATGAAGTGTGACTGCAAGGGATGTCCGGTATCCTTTTCTGTCATTGCACTTTTCCTGACATGATAAGGCTCTACCACGTACACTTTGGTAACGAGGCTTGGAAACCTCGGCTAACACCTTGTTGTTTATTAAAAAGAAAAAGAGACATACAGCAATAATTATATTTCATAAGAATAATTTTGACCCAAGCTCTATAAATATACAGTCAAAAGTCGTTAATTCGGACACCCATAATCCGGAATGATCTATAATCCGGACCTCAAGCTACAACTTTGCGCATGCGTTGCGTTCACGCATGCGCACAGCATTTACGAGTGCGTAAGATCGGTGCTTGCCATGCGCGTGAATGGACGGAGGTAAGCTAAAATTATCTATTCAGTTAATGTTGCAGATGCGTTGTTCCTTAATCTACGAATTGGATCCGGCTTATTATTTTTTGCAGACTGTTAGAGCAATTTCATGAAAGTAAGCTTGAACTTTCGATTATGTCAAATAGAATTTCCGATATATATTTACTAATATGTAATTTGTATCTACAAAGCGAAAGTATATTTTGAAATCCGAAATCTGTTTATCAATTTCACTTAGCGAATTGGAAGTTGATCTGTCAGCACTATCCTTATCTTTAGGGCAGATGTTTTTATTTTATTTGGCTTATAATTCCTTACGAAGTGTAGTATTTCATCTCGATGTACTCCGTCTTTGATATGATTTAAATCAAGTTCCTCGTCATAATTCGCTTCCGATAGTGAAGAAAGTGACCCAGAGGTTATTGAAAACGAAAACATTCGATTGACAAATTAGTCGGTATTTTCTCAACACAGCAATTATAGGACTTGAACAGCGAACTTTGTAAAAACAAGAAATTATGTCTGTTTAATAGAATTAAAGAGAAAGTATTATCACATGAAACGAAGCAACTTACATTGAAAGAAATGTTTAATAAAGTATCAATAAATGTTTAGTTTTTTTTTGTTTTTTTTTTTTTTTT